CAGTCAATGATGGAAAATGGAGCGGCCTCGGGGCTGAGTTATCTTATACGCGCGTGCACTTCGGCGACGACGAGGGACCGAGGCGGACGCGGGCACCTTCGGCGCGGTTTTGTCCGCATTCACGAGGAAGGCGCCTGTCGACGCCGCAAAAAAGCAGCGAGCCGCGCTCGATCGGCCGTCGCGGCGTCAATTGCCGTTCGGCGATTAACGCGGCTTGCGCCTGTCCCGACAGTTAAGGCCGAATTATTGTTGGCCCCTGCGCGAGATGAGGCCGTTTCGCGCTCTGCAATTGAGCGCTTTTTCTCTGTTTCCTTTAACAACCCGCGCAGTCGTTTTTCGCTCGCTTCGTTACTGCTCTCGCCGACAGCGCAGAATTTGTCTCCAAACTTCATTGGCTCTCCAAGTTCTCGCCGGCGATTTCTGTGACGTATAAAAATCATCTCGTCCTCAGTTCAGATCGGTTTCAATATCCTAATACATATTGCCGTGATATTTAGAGGGATACTTCTAAAATTACGAGCTTTTCAAACGAACGTTCTTTCTAGACGATCCTTCAAGTTATTCTCTAAAACTATTTTCAACTGATACTTTCGAAAATTCAGAGAAAAGAATTATATTTCCCTCACTTTACCCCTCCCCTCCGCTGATATTTCTAATAAATCACAATTAATATTTAAATTCATGGCAAGGTAATTTTCAGTAAAAATTGCTCACATGGATACTTTTGGGCACAGACACGCTTGTTAAATCATCCACTATCTTTCGAGAATACGATCCATTCTTGTTATCAAGCATTACTGTGTTAGACAGTTCATGTCACATACAATGTATGAGCTGCGAGGAGATGCATGTCGTGTTTACATATATTGGTAATAACCAAGAATATAGGTACATACATTGTTTAATACTATCTTGATATACTGTATACTATCTTGATCGCTAGCTTACCGAGCCAACTCTAAGTAGAAAATTTTCATCCCCTCCGAATATCGCGCGTAAGTAACCCTTGTGATGCAATGAACATCTCAATTGCCAAAATTAACGAGTGAGAAAAACTTGCAAAATGGAAATATTGAATGGTTGTCTTCTGATATACATTATTGCCATTGTTTAAAGTGAATGCAGATTTGTAAAGACGGACATAAGAATGTATGTACGTCGACCAAGAATTATCGTAGTCGTAGTGTTTAATGTTGTAGTCTAACATGATAATGCTTGATAATGAGAATGAATGAAAGTTTATTTAATAAAAGTGTCTGTGCTCGAAAGGATCCATGTATAGTAAACAATTTTTTCTTTATATAACTAAATTATAAAAGACAACGAATAAGCTACAAATTAATTAAAATTTTGCGTTAAAACATTTATTCATCAACGTCTGTATATTTAATGAACTAATTAGGCAAATTTCACTTCTTAAATTTTATTTACAATACGCTTTTATAATATTTTTTGTTTTGCTCAGTATGTGTGCCGCAAACATTGTAAGTATTTTTATATTGTTTAATTATTATAACATTTTTTGACATATTGAATTTTATATATCAAGATATGTTCTCAAATAAATTTTCAATCAGTTTATTTCAATACAATAATTAAATTTTATAATTATTAATTTGATTTCTCGTATGTATTTTCGATGTATTAATTATATATCACATTACAACAAAATTCTGAAGAGTACATACACATAAATGCCCACCTACTTCTTCGTCATTTAAATTACAGAAGTGGATATATAGGCGTCCAGTGTGTACAGATTACGAGTACAACAACATCATCGCTTGGAAATCCACGGTATGATCGTATAGTGTGTAGCTGCAGAATCTGTGGGTGACGCGTGGGAGATGGATGTGCCACACCGGGCGACCGAACCTCCCTCCCCCTGCCGCGCGCGCTCTGGAAACCCTTTACACCCACACCAAAGCACAACCGCTACATTATGTAGACACTAAGCGCGCAAATGACGTAGTCGAGGGCTTCGGACCAAGCTACGGGGACGATGCTTGACAAGCTTGCCATCGTAAAAAAACAACCAGGAATATTCGACTTCGCTAAACGTTTAATTCGCTCCGAAATAAAACTCGTCTATACAGAACTTCAATCGATTTGGAAGCCCTACATACATCGGCCAGGTATAAGTTTCAAATTTATTAAAAATTTTCAATCGATAATAATATCCATTTGCACGTAATTCAAGCGTTAAGCAAGCGAGTATTCAGCAATCGAACGCGTCGCATTCATATCACGTATGAAAGCTCAATTAAATTTATTCGAATTTTGTTTTCATACGTATTTATATCACTGCATCTCTCTCTTTTTCTCGCTGAGATGTGAAATATGTTTGTTTTGTTGACCATTACATTAACTGCAATACCTATCTGCAATCGCTTCATTTTGCGATGAAAAGGTGTATCCAACTAAAACAATCCCAATCACTTCATTTTTTTAGCCTTTTCTTTCATACCATGTCGAAGGGTAATCCATTACTCGAAGCGCATCAGTGCGAAAAATCTCTTTTTTCGCGCCCACCTCACTTTGATCGCGCGAGATTATACGCCAGCGCTCGCTCTTTTGCTGTACGCGTGCGCGGTCTCTATTGTAAATGGGATTTATATAACACGCGCAAAAATGTGCTGAAGCGCTTTGCATTGAAGTGACATAGAATAGAATTAATATGAAAAGTAGACGACAATTTTTGTTTTCGTCGAAGCTTTATGATTTTTCACAGTATAAAGGTTTACGATGGGCTTGCAGAAACGAATAGATCTTTTTTGTTAGGGAGCATAGATTGGTTATTTGAAAGCGAATGAAAAGGTTTGCTTACTCTTTGGAATGGCTGTATTAGATTCTCGTTGGCAAACAAACTTTGTGAGTTTTTTGTTTTCAATAAACGAGCGTGTGTGTGCGGGCATTTTTTTCTTTTTTTTTTTGGAAAAAGCCTTTGATACATCAAACACTGTTGCAAATATATCGATTTATAATAAAAAAAATAGTGAATGGCAATGAAAAGCACGGCATGGAAAACGTTCTGGAGTAAAAAAAAAAATAAAAATAAAACTCCCTCGCGCTTTAGCTCGCATCGCAAGCAGTCTAAACTACATATGTAACAAGCTAGACAAGGGGTTATACATCAGGAACTCTTGGCACGAGATCTGCCTGTCCATATTATCCTTGCGGAAGCGCGTCGCTCTTTATTCACCCTCCCTCTATTCCTTCGTTCTTACTTTCACTATCTACATACACTAGTGCACATAATTTTTCATACTTCGTGCTATCTTTTTTTTGCTCTTTAGTACACACCCACGGTTAATTCCTTCAAATATTATGAAAGTTGAATCGTTCAAATAACTCTGCGAATTTTCGTAAACAAAATGAAAAGTTTACGAATTCATGAAATTCATAATCGAATTTGTTCATTGTATTTTAAAATTTTTAAAAGACGTTCTAACGAAAAACAAATGTTCGATATTACGTAGGATATACCCAGCAAAGAAACATCTTGAATTTGTTGCATTTTCAAATAACTATTCATAAGTTGAAAGGACTTCTAGAAGTAAGCAATTTTTCTTTCTAGAATCGAACAGAATTTGTTTTGAAGGAAAGTCAGCAATTGGAGATTTTTTATTTCATTGCGTACAAGATTAAGTATGCACCCGACCACCAAAGAATTGTAAATTCGCATTAAAATATTCGATACGTGAGAAGAGTTAACATCGTATCAAATGCACAATCATCGCGTTCCACCTCTCCTCTATTCGGTCGTAAGAAGGAGGATGAGATCGAGAAAGTAGCGCACGTGACGGAGACATCGGCAACTGTTGCATCCCCTTCACATTGACAAAGTCGCACGATAAGAGGGTGGTAGAGGGATGTTTTCTCCCTCGGCAATGCGACGTCGTCTTTCATCGCAAAAGTCAAGGGATTAGGGATATTAAAGATCGAAAACGTATGGCTAGCGAATTGCTCACTTTTTCTCTCTCCCTTACATTCTTTCGCTCGCTTTCATTTCCGGATTGACGAATACTTATTTACTGTAATTGCTTGGAGTTTCATTGCACAATCGCGCCCCTGTAATTGACAACCACGACTGAGCTCATTTTTCTTATTTCCTCTTTTGTACTATTTTAGTTGAAGTAAGAGTTCGTAGTTTGATTTCTTGAAAAAGATTGACTTTCGAGTCGTAAATTTTCATTTGTGGTGTATGAATTTATCAAAGACTTGTATTGAAGATTCATGATAATTAATAATTTTTATGAAAAGAATAATTTTGCACTAGTTTTATTATTACGTGGTGACAATTTATCAGTTTCATATAAAACATACGATCAGTTTTTGATGAAGCTAAATATTGTAAACAAAAAGGTAATAATTGAATATCTTGAAAAGGATAATTGAGACAATCAATTAATCATTATATCGCTAACGTTTGTTATACAATAATTAAATCACGAAAATTCGAGAACATTAATGAATGTTTCGTTATGGTTTCTTTTATCAGCGCCTACCGTTAATATTTCACTTTATCGAACTAAATTGATTTGTTTTTATACAGTGTTGTTATACAATAATTAAATTGAAATCAAGTTAATATATCAATTACACAGCAATTAGCGATGGTATTGGGAATTATTATCAATTGACAATATGCGTATGATTAAATCGATCCTGAAATAACGAAGTACGTATTAATGCTCTTGATATATCACATATTGTCAAAGTATAAAAGTAAAAATACGGCGTTCAATAGCTTTCACAGGTCGTCGAGCACAAAAGTCGCCTTTATTCTGAAAGCTGATTATTAATAATTCAATATCACGGAATGATCTTTTAGTAAGTAGGTAATCGAATAACGAAGCTTTAAACGTGTCCATGCGCGCAAAAGGAAGGGGAGCGAAGCATATAAGTGCTTGCGCTTGCGCGCCCCCTTCCGACGTGAAGCGTCGCGACGACCGGTGCCGTCGTCACTGCTCGTCGACGAGTTTAGTCTGCGTTTCGCGCTCGCTCTCGTCGCTCGTTCCTGTCGTTACGTCGGGTCGTCACGTTTTTGTGTGTCGCGTTTTCGCCTCTCATATACCTGTTGAGTTCCCGAATTCCCGTTTGTTATTTGATGGTGTTTCTCGTGTGCATTGCTTGCAACACTTTGGCTGATTATCGGTGAGTTTTCGACTTTTTCACTGCTGCCGGAAAGTGGTTAGTTTTTTCTTTACACGCCAGACTGAAGTTTGATTCGAGGTAAATCGCGGTTGCGAGATTTGGCTCTTTAAACGAGGCGCTGTTTAATTAGACTGAAAATATTAAGGATGCTGATAGAATATCAATTGGCAAGAGACAAAAATCATATCGTAGCAAATGAAATGTATTTAGGTATATTTGATGAGGCTGCACGATACATTATTTCTCCTTAAACATGTTTAACGTTGCACTTTTTTTATTATATGGAGTATTTACAGATTTAAGTATTCAGGCGTCTGCCGAGATAATAAATCGTATTGGAAAACACTACGTTTCTAGCAAAATAATATTTTATTTTCTACGCCATTTTTTCGGTCGTTTCCTTTTTAGTCGTTGAAATGACGTTTAACGTGTAATAATAAAACATTACAATGATAACCAAAGATTTAAGAAAACTAGTTTTGTAGTGACGAGCACAAATAAAAACGCTATCTTAGTCGTTTAATTTAAAAAATTTATATTATAAATTATAAAAATAAATATGAAAATATAAATGTTTCCAATTTAGATGCAAATTTAAATGAATACGCCGTGTTTCTTTCTCTCGTAACTCTTTAAGTTCTCATTAATTGGATAACTAAAGCATGTAATTAGTTTTTTTGAAGTTTATGATGAGCAAAGAGTAGTTTGAAGTACCGACACTGAATTTTTTATGATCAGATTTTCAGAGAAGGCTTTAAGTTTTTTATTGATATGAAAGTTGAAAGTATTTCAATAAAAAAAATTGTTACTAAAGGAACGAGTGATTCATGTAATATTCAGAGTCCAATCTTAAGTTATTAATTTTCTATTAAAAACGATTTTTTTACGTGGCAGGAAAACACTGAATTCTTAAAAACGTCTCTTTCATCTAGAAAATTTTGTTGGATTCTTACACTAATTTACGATTTTGATTAAAACCATCTGTTTTTTAATAGCTCTTAATAGTCAAAGTTTCTATTTAATATAAACAAAGCTTTCAACATAATATTAGCTTACAAAACTGAAAAAAGTGCACATTTAATATCATAATATTTTTTTAATTCCGAAAAACAAATGCAATTAAAGTACGTTTTGAAACAGTTAAAAAAGTATTGGGCGTTTGACTGCACAAAACTAAATGATTCTTTTCCTCTCAATTGAGCAGCCTTCGATGACCAACGAGGAGAAAGAAAAGCACAACTAACTTTTAGGCAATGAAAGACTCGCCGGGAATTGCGTCTGCTAAAGTGCGTGCGATTTCTCACGAGGAGTTAGGGGTGGTAGAGACGATCGTTGAGTGATGATGCATAAAACATGCGTCTTGTCGTTGTCCACTTTTTCACTCTTCTTTTTGTGAGCTTTGTGATTTTTTTGACGAGAACACGAATTTGAGTGAATTCTTAAACGATTGACTATCAAAAGTACCCTTCTGCTTATTAAGGTTTGCAAATGTCTTTAGTGAAAATTCGAGAACATTAATGAATGTTTCGTTATGGTTTCTTTTATCAGCGCCTACCGTTAATATTTCACTTTATCGAACTAAATTGATTTGTTTTTATACAGTGTTGTTATACCAATAAAAATTTGTTGTTAAGAGTACTTTGAAACAGTGACATTTTCACGACTTGTTCAAATTTTGAATGAAAAAAAAAAATGATTTTTTATTTAATTTATAAGTAAAGATAAAAGATAAATGCATCATTAATTTTTTCAAACTGAAATTAACAACTTCGTCAAAACTATAATTAATGAAAGATCACGTTTTATTAACATAAGTTTATATCATTGTCCAAAAGTAATGCCAACAACAAAACCGTAAACGAAAAATCACTTCCTGACAAGCCCAAACCAATAAAACTAATCGTACGAAAATCAAAGTCTATCGGAATGTTCACAGCATTTCCTTAGCCCGGTCGCAGCGATAAAGGAAGCACGCCGTGAAAAGGAAGAAAAAAAAACATGCAGCTTGCTGCTTTTGATACGAGAGTGGCGCGAGATAAAAAAAGAGAGAAGGGGGATGGAGCGCGAAAAGGATAGCAGGCTCACTTTGGACGCCTCCGGGACTTTTTCGAGCGTAGTTTACTGCCACGAGCAAATAGAGAAGGAGAGAGAGAGAGAAAGAGAGAGTGTGAGTGAGAGAACAAAACGCTGCAAGTTGGAAAGAAAAGTTTTGCTTTATCGATGTTTATCATTTATTCGAACGTGAATTTTTGACCGAACATTTTTGATTTGTGGCCGAAGCGATTAGTAACAACTAACAAATTGGCGATAAGTTTTCAAAGAGATATTCATGTCGAAACCACAATACGCTTTTCAATTCATTGCACATTTTATTTTTAACTGGCAAAATAAGATTTTTTGAAACTGAAAGTTGTTTATTCGTTGTGTCGATTTACTAAAGTTTTTGAAAGCGTAATTAAGTTTTCGAACAAGCGTTATGCCACCCGATCACTGCTCGAAAAATACCAACAGTCGTAACGAATCGGTTTGGCAACACAGTGAAGTCCATAATCGCATAACTGGCTTGCGATAAATATTTGCAATAACACGTAAAGGTAGTGACACGCGCATACGTATGAACTGTCACGCAACAATAAAATCGTAAATGGTTTTGGAAAAATTTCTTTAATCAACGTTCTCGGCAGCCGGCCTTTGGGATGTTTGCGGCCGCGCGCACGAGAAAACATTTGGCTTTCCCGGGTCCGCGGCTGTTCTCAGAACTACGTTTTAACAGAGCGAAGAGGTACGTTAGAAACGAAAGGCCAGCGCTTGTAGAACGTCTGTTCGTGTTTGAAAATAGTTGAGGCTAGGGTTGCTATGACGATAAAGTTAGGTAAGGATATTATAACGTCGCAATGGTATTTTTTCTTGTACGTTCTTTTTCCTTTCGCTCACTTTGTTTTCCTGAAGTCGAAGGAGACGAACGTAATGTTGTAATAATAAATTATCACATCACGAATCAATATGCAATAATAATTATATGAGAGGATAGAAGTAGTATTAAGTATCTTGTCAAGTCTATCTTTTCTTAGTAGTCTAAGCATTGATGCATATAAACAATTACTTATAACTATGCTCATCGTGCAACACATAGGTTTCAAAGTCTAAACTTCGAGTAATTCATTCCAAAAGTTTTATTTTCTGTATTAAAAATTAATTAGAAATAATCTAATTATCTCGCGCTTTTATTAAAGGTATTTTATTATGTTTAAAGAGAACGTGCACAGTTTGCTCAAGCGTAATAGTATTACAAAAAAAAATAACAAATTTGATACAGATGACTGAAAAAATATGCCCTCCCCCACAACTTAATTGACCGGTTAGTTCTGAAATTCGCGGTATTTCTATGTATACTTTAACAGAGAAGCAGAAGCAGCAGTTCGGTAATTGGAAGATGACTGCATAGTTTGGCAAAGTAGATAAACTTGTCAACTAGCGTATGGCGCAAGTATAACGCATACACGCTCGTATAATAAACTTTCGACGCGTTCTATGTACAACGCTGGAGTTCTGTACACAAAGAAAGTACATGGAATTCAATCGGATATATAAGCTTCTTCGTTTAAAATGCTTTCCAATCTGCTTACATCCTATATTTCTTTACACCAGATGTATTGTGAGTTTTCTTTATGTAATAAAAACATTGTTTTTAATTTTCTTTGCATTTTTTCAAAAATTACTATAAACGCAAAATATTTATCCAATTAAAAAAGAAGCGAATCCGAATTCATGAAATTTGAGAAATTTAGGTTTTCCTTTGGTTTTTCGATTGAAATTTAAAAGAAATAAGATAAATACTTATAATTTAAAAAAGAACCCAACACGTAATAATGAAACAAACGAATAACGCATATTCTTTGCGATATTATAGAAAGCTACTATACAAATCTGTGTCTATTGAATGATTTAAATATAACAACACGGTTTAAATATAGAGAGGAGAGAGAGAGAGAGAGAGAGAGAGAGAGAGAGAGAGAGAGAGAGAGAGAGAGAGAGAGAGAGAGAGAGAGAGAGAGAGAGAGAGAGAGAGAGAGAGAGAGAGAGAGAGAGAGAGAGAGAGTGGAAACTAAGCATTAACTGGGGGATGAATTCAGAATTACCTCTTGTTGCAAAATCAACGAGAGATTATAACACTGCACTCATTAGGAATACAATACGTGTTCTATCGGTATTGACAAGCTCGACTAACTCCGCTGGATTCAATGTATAATTATTACAAGAACTTTATGCGGTTATGTGCTGCACACGTTTGTTTATAATTGTACGTTTAGAACAATGTTGCCTGATTAATACTGTTGTTGCGTAACAAGCTGTGCTATTATATAAGTAAATATAATAGCGACATGTGTAAGCTTGATATTTCATGAATTACCGAGTGCAAGAAATAAAGATTGTTGGAGCAATTATTGTTGAGTTTAATAAAATAATACGAAACGAGGATAGCGTAGGTTTTGGGTGCATTTACAATTAGTGATCGCGTCTAATTTTGGCGAAACGTAACGGAGAATTAGCTCTTGAGTTTAAATTGGCAGTAGTTGACAACAATTGTAACTGTTTATCTGTCTGTCTGTTTGTCTCTCTTCTAATCACGATGATATTTTTGTACACCTGTTCTGCTAGAGAACGATTCGTGTTTAATTATTCAGAGTCTTGTCCTTCAAGTTGCAAAGTCATATTGTAATGCAATCAAGCATGATGGAAATAAGAAGTTGTCTTCTTTTCTTCGATGCTGCGAGGAAGAAGTATCACAAATATAATTACTGCAATCTATCTAAATCGTAATCAGTCAAATGATTATGTAATTTTGATACATCGGTGTCGATATATCGAGTTACTTGTTAATAATAACGACAAGAATATCATACGAGTAATTCGTTGTCTATTTAGTTTCATTATAATAGGTCGTACGTGTGTAATAGATTTATATGAAATTTATTAAATTATTATTACCATGCGTTTCC